GGGGGGGGGGGGGGGGGGACAGCACCAGGTCAAGGGTTAAGATCCCCTTACCGGTCATCTTTAAAAAAAAAAAAAAAAAAGTATGTAAAAAAATTTTAAAAAAAGTATGGGGCCGGCCCGGTGGTGCACTGGATAAGTGCGCCGCTTGGGAAGCGTGGCGGCACTCCCGCCCGAGGGTTTGGATCCCACATACAGACCGGTTCCCGCTCACTGGCTGAGCGAGGTGCGGGTGCAATACCAAGGGTTGCGATCCCGTTGCCGGTCCCGGTCCGGTACGGGCGCAACACTGAGGGTTGCGATCCGTTGCCGGTCACGAAAAAAGACAAAAAGGAAAAAAAAAAAAAGTATGTAAAGACTAGCATTTATAAAAAATGAAATAAAATAGAAATGTCAGTACATCACAGGTAGGGCCAATAAGTATTGTTGCATGACATTTTTGTTTATATACATACACATTTGTCAATACTGGGTGACTAAATCTGATTTTCTTTAAGTAGGTCATATAAAAGCTATCAAAAGACAAAAAAAACAAAAACAAAAACAAACAAACAAAAAAAAAAGCTATTAAGGTTATAGAGTTTAAAATTTCGTTAATTCTTATAAGATTTTTACTCAAAGCAGATACCTTTTTTTATTTACTTTAGGCTTTTGGTAAGCGCTGTATGTATCATGAAGAGAAGATTATTACTTAATTTTCAGTTTCATACCTTTTATGACCTATGATGATGAGTTAATCTAAAAATAAGTACTGCTAATTTATTATTCACATTGCTTCTTTTTAAATATTAGGTTTCAGGGCCAGCCTGTGGCTCACTCGGGAGAGTGTGGTGCTGATAACACCAAGGCCATGGATTCAGATCCTATATAGGGATGGCTGGTTCACTCACTGGCTGAGTGTGGTGCTGGTAACACCAAGCCAAGGGTTAAGATCCCCTTACCAGTCATCTTTTAAAAAAAAATAATAAATAAATATTTATAAATAATTATATATTATATATAATATATGTAATATATATATATATATTAGTTTTCCCTTCACCAAACCATCAGTTAAATTGCCTTTTAAAAAATTC